ATATTATGTAGATGGCATCTGCGGGTAGCGATCGTCGACGCCGTAAGGGTAAGGGGACTCAATTACAATCTCCAACTGCAGGTCACCCTTCTCCACATATGGTGCCTCCTCCTGCTTTTCCTCCTCAGTCATCTTCGTTGCCACCTGCATTTTTTATGCCCCCACCTGGGCCTGTCCACATTTCTGTATATTCAGTTGGCCCGAACTCTGGCTCTAACCTTAATTTTATTCCCACACCAAATGTAACTTCTTCTCCCGGTTTTCATATTAGTCAACAAGGTAGCTCCTCAGCACTGCCTACTTCATCGACTCCAACTGCATCTCCGGCATCAAGCACACCTAGCGTATCTATGTTAAATATTGGAGTCTCTAGTACATCAACAACACCGTCCATTGGTAGTGCTACACCATCAGCTTCTCGGGGTCGACGTGGTAAAGTGACTCTACAATATGATGCATATAATAGGTTGATTATCGTTCCGGATGAGAAAGATGGGTAAGTAATCCTTATGTTTATTTTTATTCTGTTGAATATACAATTTTCATATGTTAATTTTAATGCAGGTTTTTCCCTTCATTTGCTTCCGCGCATATGGTTACAGAGTCTATGAAGCCATTTTACGATGATGCTTGGGGTAGATGGAAAGACATTCCATATGATATCAGAGATAAAATGTGGAATCAGTTTAGGGTACGTATAAATCTTATTTTTAAATTATATATCAAATATCCAATTTCACTCTACTTTATTTAATTATTTTCCAGACTTTGTGTGTGTGGGAGCAAAGATATGACAATGAAATAAAATATGTCTACGAGAAGAAAGCAAAAAAATTGATTCCAAGTTCATTGTATGAAGCTCGAGACAAGAATAAGAAGCCTGGTTGGATAAGAGAAGATGTGTGGATAAAATTTTTAGCAATATGGGATAGTGTTGAATTTAAGGAGAAGAGCGAACGAGCAAAGGCATCCCGAGCCTCTCAAAAGGGTGGCTCATTGCACACCGGGGGATCTATGAGTTTTGCTGCGCATCGACAGAGATTGGTAATGTTCACTAGAGACCTTAATTTCTCACTTACTTTTCCTATGTCATCCTCTTCTCAACTCTTCTTTATAAATTAATTTCTCACTTAGTTTTGTTGGTGAACAACTCGAGATCAATAACAATAGCGACTATCATGAAAGCCATAATTTTAATTGTAATAACTTGCTGAGATTATGGATGTTTTTACTGTTCTCTGATTGCAAGATACACTTCCTCTCTGCTCCTGTATTGGCTTAAGTTTAATGCCACTGGTTTATTTTCGGGAGTTATAAGGTGATCATTTATTCTGTATAGCATGCTTTCCTTGGGATCATTATTGCAACTGCAGATGAATACCCGAATTTGAAGTGAACAGCCTTGATATTATATGACCTTCCATAATATCTTAGGATTTCTCAATTGCTAGCATATCGTTGAAATCTTAGAAAGCTAAAGATGATTGGCTTTCTTATAGATCAGCATTCCAAACAAATACCATGAAGTTCTTCTCAAACTTGTGCGCGACTTTAGTAGTCAACCTGCAAGTGTACAAGATTCTCTTAGAAATTTGTTTACTTGCTCCTTATGATAAGTCTTCATTTGGTGGCCTTCAGTATGCCTCTCCCCAAATTGAACGTGGGATACTCTTGATTAGCACTTAATATATTATTCTTCTTTGATTATTGGTTATCTGAGGCTAAGCTGAGTGGCCCTGCTTGTGTCTCGGATGTCTTAGTTCAGTTGTAGTCATTTTCTTTTGCATTCACAATCTGTGAATGTTTGTGTTTTGGACTTTGGTGGACTATGGAAGTGTAAATTGACAATTCAAAAACCTAATTAAAATCACTGCTGTCTTATATACACTCTTTGGAAAATTTCACATTTGATTTTACCTTTGTTATATCAGGTAATATATTTTAATGTTAATTACTAATTTCACTTTTATACTAAGTTGAATTACAGTACAACATCTCTTTGTTTAAAGCTTAGATGTTCGTGTCCTATCGGAATCTTACTCAGCAGTCAGTAGTAGTGCACTGTTATATGCATGCTCTTTGTCTTGTTCTCCGCGCATGACACTAATGCTTTGATAACGTGGTCCAGCAATCCTCCAACTTGCCTAGTTGCTAATTTTAGTTATCCTTAGATAAATGTTGAATGCAAATATCGAAAGCATGCTGTGGGCAACCCTTCAATTAACCTCTCTCAGGTTCACAGTTGTCAGTTCAGTGGGCAGAAAAACTTTGATAGCAAGAGACCTGCAATAATTGTAAAACTTGCTATTCATATTGCTGTGTTATTATCATATAATCAGTTTACCTTGTAAAGAAATTATTATATTATCCAAATTTTGCTGTTCTAACTTATTAACTTGATTATTTCTTGTGATTTTCCTTACACACTACTGAAAAAGGTTACTCCCTAAATCCTTATCGACTGACCTAATTCTAACCTGCATGAATATTAGGGGGAAAACGAAATTCATTATCTCTAAATGCTAATCATGTCCAAAGCTGAAGTCTTGAAGATAACATATAACTTCTGAGTATTTGAAATTTCTAGTATGCAGAAGTGGTCCCTGTTTTCAGTTTTATGATATCTAGAAAGGATTAAAAATGATCGAAGAGCTTATTACTTGAGAAGTAGACACATTGTTGGTACAATTGCAAAAAACTATCAAAGTAGGAGCAGGGTAACATTGAAGTAACACTTAATTAGTATCATTCCTCGTCTGATCTACAATGCTGTACACAGCACTAAGCGGCTCCCAACCCTCAGTTGATCATATAGGATTTACAGAAAGAGGTGTAAGTTCTCTTGGTTGAGGAAAAAACACTGCTAAGTTTCAAAAGTATACGTGGACTAGCTGATATTCAGTTTCTAAAGGCCATTGAATCTGTGACAGAATTATGACTACTATGGATGCTACTTAGAGCTCGAAATTAAGCTTTCTGCAGCCACTAGTGGAACTTACAAATCGGCAGGTTACAATGAGACGTCATACTGCCTAAGCATGTTTCTCTGCCCCTGAAGATAGAGACTAACCTTTGTTATGACTTTGTATGATTTTGTTGGTAAATAGAAATTAGTGTTAAGATTTGTCTATGACTTTGTATGATTTGGTATATAGGAATTAAATAGGCTAGGTACAGCTATAATTAAATTGTAACATAATAAATTCTAATGACAGTCAGAACAAACCAAGCCTTCAATATATCTTCTTTCCTCTTTTATGTCTTCACAACCTTGAATCTTGGATTTTGGATATAGCGTAAGATAATCAGAAACCTATAACTTACTCTGTGCTAGTGCATCAGATACATTGCCCGGCCTCACCTCAATACATTGCCCCACTAAACTATCAATAGCATCGTTTAGCTCGTCCACTAAAAATAAATTCAAGGAGGAGTTCTGTCCTTCAGTCCATTGTTTTTTCCATCTTTTTTTTTTTTTTTTGTATAAGAGACAAGTTGGCCTCCACATATACTAAAAACAGAGATAAAATTGGCAAACCCACTTCGGGATGTTGTGGTTGGGGTTAGAGAAAGTATAAAATATGTGCTCTCTCCTGTGTAGATATTCAAATAGCCCCTCCATCCGGTTTCTCCATGTCCCTCATTTACAGTCAAACATGCACCCTCAACTCATAAAAACTTCAATCCCCTTGACACGGAAAGGAAGGAGAATATTGATAGTTATCATTACTAGAAACACTTACAAGTTTGGTTCAATAATACATCCACACATAAACCAAGCCTTTGTTGCATTTCATTCACAGTGAGAGTTGACAGGACTCTTAAAATAGGTGGTTAATTTAAGAATATGAAACCAAGCATTTGTTTGTTTGATGCCATTAACGGAGAAAATAAGGACTACACTCTTTTGAAACAGGTGGTTGGTTTAAGCATATGAAACACAATACTTTCTACTCTAAAAATTAGTTAACCACAAACAGAATGGGGTGGAAACTACCTGTTGCAAATGTAAGCGAAACAGAGATTCAACTTACCTTTCTAGCATGAAATTCCCAGGTTGAAAACTTAAACTCAGTTTTACCCATTCGTCAAATATAAGGTAAATATATGAAAAGACACACTTCTTACCTCATTGAGTTTCTCCCATACCAAATCAGATTGATTTATATATCCCTGGTCAGTGGCCAAAATATATAATTCGCCTTCAAACTGCACATAAGCTGACATCAGTTTTCTATGCCCAGAAACTTGAGAAGTGGAGATATAGTTGTATCCACATAGGAAATTATTTTACCCCAGTACAAATCATATAAAAAATAATAATAATAACAAAGCAAGCCCATCAGACCTTAAACATGGTATTGAAATGATTATTCCTGAAGAAAACACAAAGTTCCCGCTCTTTCAAACCCTCTTGCAAGGAAAATAATCTGTGCAAAAGAGGAACAAAGAGTATTCTGTTACTACTAGCAAAACAGAGTAATACAGTTAATGAACAGGAGAATGAACTTATAACAGGGAAGGAAACATACCCAAAGATTGTTAACTGGCTTGCACTGTTCTTTAGAAAGTTCCTCACCAGTTCCCCTAATGTGAATTAAGAAGAGCAAACATAGTGTTCTACTTAAACTGACAAGGTAGTAAAAAATACATGAAAGAAAAGAAGTACAATTAGATCAAGGAGACATTCATTTTTACTTTTTCTTAGATAAGTGTCAAGGAAGACATTCATCCTACACAAGAGCGCCTGAGTTGCCTAATTCATTCATATTAAAGAATTTCTCACCTTCTCTCTGTGTGATTTCATCCTTCACAACTGTCTCAGGCACATCTGTACTGCCTCCATTCACTTGTTCAGCAAGAACCACCTCACCTTCAATTTCACTGCTCTTTTTACCAAGTTTCATATATATAATGCAGAAATCCCATGTTTCAAGTGGTCAATTCCTCATTAAACATCAGTTTTCTAGGTATGCTAGTCATATATTGTGTGAAGATTAATAAATGGGGGCTCTTTTGAGCTCTCTTATGTATTTTGCTGCTCTGTTCCATCAATAAGTTGGTCATTTTTACATTTTAAATGTACTGGGTTTTGAATTTTACAAAAATTTGCAGTTTGCTAGCTTAGAGCAACTATTTCCTTCATCTCACGGTTGTGCATTACCTTGGAAGAGAATGATTTTGTCCTTTTAGTGTAACATATTACATGAGAAGTCGGATTCACTTTAAAAATAGATGTTAAGGTCAAATAAAGAGAGTTAGTGTTCACTGCCTACAATATGGCCATCTGCACCTTTAACTGTATCTCATGGGGAGAGTATCGTAGGCATGTATCTATTGATTTAGAGGGTGTTTGGATTGGCTTTTAGCTGATCAAATCAAATTTTATCTTCTTTTTAGTAGTTAGAAAATGAGCAGACTACTCTGAATATGAACCACCATAAAACATAGCAGATGATTCTAAGACTCGTTAAAACCAAGGACTGATTTGTTCAAATATGGTGTGTTTGTCATCTATGCGGACGTTTCTTGAGCCTACTAACTATATTTTCTTAAATGCTGCTCCAATTCCTCAAGTGAAGAAATCACACTGCAAATGTAATTGACTTACTGGGGTTTGCAGTAGACAGAAAAGGATCTCTGGGATGCAAGAGCATCAGACGCAACTGCAAGCACTCCTTTGATATCTTTATGAGTCCTTAATCCTTATATATACACACTTCCTCTTGACTCTTGTCGCATTATGCACTCTTCACTTGAGACACAATGTTATCGATGTGGCATTTATTTTGACATCACTAGAAAAATTACATTTTTTACTGCAGGAAATGTTAAAAGGGGGACCAGTGTCTGATGCTGAGGTCTTTGCGGAGACACATAAGAAAAAGAAAAAATACGGTTCAAGAGAAGGATGGGTTGAGACACGTGCATCGAAACAATATGTAAGATCATAACTTTAAGACTATTTTCACTTTGATATTGATTTATTTATATAATCCTTGTTACTTTTATTTCGGGATGGATTTCATAGAAGCTTGGATGAATGGTGTCAGACGCAGCCTATTTCTGATGATGGTACCCCAATCCAACCGTCACCCGATGTTATGACTTCAATATGGACGGATGTAGCAGGTGGTGTATCCAAAGGAAGAGTTTACGGGCTTGGAGTACAACGGCCTTCCTCTTTTTGTCCATCGCCATTAGTTTCGGATGCTCCTACTGCGCAAAATCAGGAAGAAATGGGAGCAATGCAAAAGAAAATGGAGTTGTTGTCGAAACGATGTGAGACGGCCGAAGCTCACATTGCTAGAATGGATAAATACATGAAAAAACACATACCCCACTATTATGATGATGAAGAGACTGATTCTGATATGTAGTAGTGATTTAAGGTTGATTACTGTTCTTGGATGTTTAAATTTTATATTTAGACTTTATGGTAGATTTGAATGATGTGGTATATATATGTTTAGACTTTATTATATTAGTGTCGATATGTATTAGCTACTCAGACTTGATATTGAATATTTAGACATTAAGTAATATTTTGGTTTGATATTATGGGATTTGAATATTTATTTGTTGATGTTGGAATTAGTTGGTTTGATTATTAGATTGTTTAATTGGAATTGGTTGTGTAGTTGAAATTGATTGGTTGAGTTGGTTGTTTAGTTGGAATTGGCTTGTTTATAATATTTACATTTGACAGGTGATGTATTGATAATAAAATGGCAGGATTCTGTCAAATTTCAACCCATTTTTCCGACTATTGTAGTCGAAAAGTGTTCCCAGCATAATGATTTTCCGACTACAATAGTCGGAAAATGAGGCCAGAATAATGCAGGTTCCGACTACTGTAGTCGGAAAGTACAATAAAATAAGAAATAAATAATTATTATTTGTATAATATCCCCACTACAGTAGTCGGAAATATATTTTAAAATAAATAATAATTTTTTGTATTTTCCGACTACTTCAGTCGGAAAATAGCTGCATTTTCTAATTTTTGGCGGAAAATATATTCCGACCTATCTTTTTCCGACTACTCTAAATCAGTCGGAAAGTAGTCGGAATAGGTACTTTTCCGACTACTTTCCGACTATTTTGGTAGTCAGAAAATAGCGAGTTTCTTGTAGTGTAGGGAGACCTTTCCTTGCAACGGGGAAAGCATTGGTGGATGTTGAAGCGGGTGAACTAACTTTTAGAGTGCGTGATGAAAAGGCTGTCTTTAATGTTTGCAAGTCTATGAAGCAACCCAATCGCACCGAAGTATGCTCATTTGTAGACCTTGTCACAGCTGTGATTGTGGATGACACAAGTTCTATGATCAACGTGGAGGATCCTCTTGAGGCCGTGCTCTTAAATCTTTGTGTCAATGATGCTGCAAGCGGAGTGGAGTGTGTCAATGCTCTACATGTTATGGAATCTTGTGAGCCCAGTAAATTGTCTTTGGATCTTGGAAACCTGGAAACTTTTGCAACCTAGGAAACTCCACCAACAAAGCCAACAATTGAGGAGCCACCGGTGTTGGTAATACAACCACTTCTTCCTCAGCCCCACAATCTTTAAGCCCGAAATTCTCTTGGAGGATGATGCAATGCCTTCCTTGGAGCATCAAAGAAGTTTAAATGAAGCAGTGCATACAATGGTGACATATCCTCATAATGTGTTGATTCTGAAAAGAACAGTCACAGGTTGGCAAGGTTGCATAGACTATGGACAAGTGAACAGAGTGCCCCGCAAGGATCTTTACCCCTTGCCATTCATTGTTCGGATGCTAACCCAACTTGCTGGGCGTGTCTGTTATTGCTTCTTGGTGCTTGATGAGAGCCACATGGTGGTGCTTCTTAATTTGAAATGATGAGATGGTAACCCGCGTCGTGCCGCGACGTTAAATCAGGCGCTTCTTGGGAGGCAACCCATGTCTTTTTCTTCTTGTTTTCTTTGATTTTCTTTGTAGTTTAGGTTTGATTTTTTGACTAATTGGTTGTGAGATGTTGCAGGGATTGTGTTGATGCACTGCAAAACATTTTGGACAAGTTGAACAGTCTCTGAAGTTGCCAATGCGGACGCATTGCATTTTGTGCGGTCCGCACTGGTATGGGCTAAGTGAGGTGCTCTCTGATGTTTGCCACCGCGGCCGCATTCCATTTTGTGCGGACCGCGGTGGACCTCCGCGATCGCAGTCATTTTTGTGCGAACCGTGGAGGTTACCTTCTCAAGCTTCAATGAAACAAACCCAGCGCGGTCCTCGGTCCGTTTTGTGCAGCCGCGCTGGTAGGTAAGGCTGGGTCCCACTGCTTTTTCTGTAAATAGACCTCAAGGGTCTCCTTTTACCCTTTTCGAACCCTAAGCTCTCGGAGACTAAAATTCATTGTTCATCTGCGTAATAGCATACTTGTTCTGTGTGTCTTCACTCTTTATCAATATCTGGTAACATTTCATCCATTTTTCTTTGTTTCATTTTATAATTTCCTTTTATTTTCATGATCAGTAGCCCATAGCTTCTTCTTTTTCTCATTTTTCTCTATTTGATTATCTTAGGTTAGTTTTAAATACCGATTTTTGTGTGATTGATGTGCATAATGAGTGGAAAAAATGAGTAGGGACAAAGTAGGTGATGATTTGAACAATATTGCAACAAAAAACTTAAACCCTAAGTCAGCACCCTCCACGGACCGCGGTCCTTTTTGTGCGGTCCGCGGTGCTTAAGTTCTGAGAAATGCCCTGTGCCAGCGCGGCCGCGCCGGCAAGCTCGTTCTGATCTTGGACGCAGTACATTGAAATCCTGAAGCACCACCACGAACGCTACCGCGCGTCCGCCTGCATTGCACTTTGTGCGGTCCGCGCTGACCCACCGCGGCCACGGTACCTTTTTGTGCGGGCCGCGGTGATGAGATTCAGAGAAGTAGTTTTTTGGACCCTGCCCTGTGCGGACCGCGGTGGGTTTTATGCAGTCCGCGGTGGCTCCAGCGCGGCCGCACTCCTTTTTATGCGGATCGCGGTGTACTGTTCTGCAACTGTTTGCTTCTGTTCTGTAAGTCATTTTCCACAACTGATTCACTGCCTTTACTGATACTAACAAAGCTAGATGTGTGTGTTTGCAGACAATGGTTAGACAACAAGGAGGCAAAGGAACAAAACAACCCGGGAGAGGTGGTTCCTCCCGAGGGGGTGAAAGAGGGTGGTAAAACTCACTCCCCAAGCTCGGGAAAACATCGAAAAGACCCGGAAGTTGATAAAAGTTGCAGATAAAGCTGCTTCTCATTCTTCCGGGAGTGAGTATGTGCCCTCCCAAGACATCTCCTCAGACTCAGTCCCAACTCACATTGTCACCGACCTTCGATTAACTGATGATACTCCTCCGACATCACCTACTGTCCGACAGGCAATCAATGTTGTGAATGACTCATCTGAGGGCTCGGCATCCGGTAGTGGGGAATACTCCACCTCCCCCACAGCTTCTTTGTCTGGGGAGAGTGAAGAAGGAGAAGAGTAGGAGGCACAAGGGGGTGGTGAACCTCAAGTTGGGGGTGTGGACCGAACTAGAAATCCCACAGCTTGGGAGGATAGATTCGTCAGTCAGGTAGCGTTCCACAAGTTTAGGGAATGGTGGCCAACACGAAAGCTGATTCTGGAGAGGAGTTTTGTTGAGCGGGACCTTCTTCCCCTGCACCCAAATGTGCATAGACAGTTTCACACACGAGTGGGTTGGGCGCACTTTCAGAGTGAATGTGTAAAGGCAAATGAGCACGTGGTCAAGGAGTTCTATAGCAACGTGGCCCACATCTTGAAGGGCACTAAAGTGACCAAAGTGCGGACCAAAAAGGTGTTCTTTACTGGGAAGGTACTTATTGACTTGGGGTTCGATGATGAAGATGAGACCCTTTACAACGAAAAGTTGGCA